CCCCAAAACCCCAAAACCCCAAAACCCCAAAACCCCGCTACTTGCTTTAAGAGGTATTTTAAAGATTATGAAATTAAAATTATAAATTGTGCTATATTTATTTTCAATAATAATTTAAGGTCTATTTTATTGTGTTGAGTCAATCTTTAGATAAAATGGATTAGTTTGACATTTTATGTTTATCACTAAATTTACTATAGGGCTTGCTGCGATTTTAATCAGTTGTGCCAACTGCAAAACCCGTCAAACTAAACCCCAACTAAGACTTGTTCGATCTATTGTTACTGAAGGTTATATTCATTGGATTGTAAAAGTGGTCGCCCTTAGCATTGTTTTCCATTATAGAATTTTCATGTAAATTCTCAGTGATCTTAGCTAGTTTATCTAATTTATGCTATAAAGCCTGAGACATATTATTATTGTGCTTGTATTTTTTATTGTTTTACATTGAATTTTATCTCTCCTTTTTAAGACTTAATATAGTGGAATTAGAAAGTAATTAAGCAGAGCTTTCATCAGTCTGCTTCATGTCAGTTAGATTATTTGATAATTACATGTCTAGCTGACTTCTTGGAGATATTTGATGACTGATAGATCCCAATATTTGAATCTAGTTGCCTACCATCGTGTTACTTGTATTAAGATGATAATGCTAATGACTAGGACTAATCATCACATCTGGTAATATATTAGTAGAATTCAAAGTAGATTTTCTAAATTTCTTGGTGACTGTATTTTTCTAAAAAGTGCTTACATCTTTAGATATAATACTTTCAAATGTTTCCTTAAGTTTCTTTATAGTTGAAAGTGTAAATAACTTGAAGGCATTTTATTGATGAGATTTCATAAGTAATTTGAGTTCTCCTAATCTAATGTTAAGGCCGTTATAAATTAGTACTCTTTCATCTATTCTATGAAATTCAATTTAATTATGAGTATTAGTTTCTCTGGCCATTCTATTCTGGCTGTTAATTCTAGCAACCTGTGGAGAATAGGATGAATTAATCAGCATTGTAGAATTAAAGCTTGAAGGGATGTGATTTAGAATGGGCAATGAAATATCATTTGCATTTTTAAATTCTATTACCTTAGCTTTTAAATATTCAATTTCATTAGTGATTGCTGCTGTAAGTGCGCAATTAGCATCAGTAGAGCCATACTAATTAGCTATAATTTAGAAAAGTGTACTGAACTTAATATCAATATCATCAAGAGCCTTTTAAAGAAGTATTTATGGTTTTAGCAAAGCTTCCTCCTTAGCTGAAATGTGCTCTTAAACCTCTTGCTAAATAAGAGTCACTTAACTCTCTAACTTTCTACATTCATCTTTAACTCCTTCCTAGAATAGTTTCATTTGCTCAAACATTTCTTTATAGTTTACTTCGTTGCTGCCTTTGATTCTTGTTTCGAGAATATCAAAGAGGCCATCTAATTTGTCATCAATTAAATCTTCTAATTCTGTCATTTCAATTCCCAAATCATCCAAAATATTAGACGCTGTTGCCTTTTTAGCTATACCATTTTGGATTGCTTTTTTTGTTAGCTATTTCATGAATTAGTTCGCTTTAACAGGTTCTGGCATTATGATGGATTATTTACGAACTACTTAGCCTATTATTGACTTCTCTTCCTCACATGAAGGATCTTGCTCTTCAGGTATTGGTGAAACAAATCGATTTTTAAGAGGACTCCTTGAGACAGAAGGACTATCATCCCCCGACAAATTTTCCTCTATAAACTACATTTCATCATCTTTAATATTTTTGTCTCCTGAATCAGCAAATGTTTGCTAATTTCCAAAATTTATTTAAGGTGAGGTTTTCAAAGTCATCTGTTATGATATAAGCCCGTAGTTTAGCTTTCTTTAAGACTAGTGGTTAATATGCTGCTAGCGTTTCCTATCAGCTTCACGCTGCATATCTTAATACATTTAATCCTGCTACATTTTGCCATATAAATCTCGCATCTAGTTAATTAAATCTGGCTAGCCATCATCGTTGAAAAGGACTTCATTCTATTGCTTGAAGAAGTATACTTCATATTCACGATACCTTGACAATTTCGCATCTCTTTTGTTGAACATAGAGAGTATACTATGACTTATCTGGTTCTAAACTTTGACAGGAAGATATTTATCAACAAAGTTCTCCACTCTGGTAAAATGAATCTTGTACATTTCAGTTGTATGAGAGAGTGCGCTAATCAAGTTATTAGTATTTAAGTAATCATCCTCGTGCTGAATCCTTTCTAATTTATTCTTCTCAAGGAGTATTGTCTTCTCAATTAGCTGATTGATTTAATCTTCACATGCAAGTTCCAAGCCCTCTAGCTTTTCGATTTAAGTTTGATGCATATCTATTAACGGATGATAATTGCTTTGATAGTGATCCATTGATTCTATTTTTTATTAAAGCGAAAAGACTTTCTGCAAGAGAGTGCTTTCACTATTCTTTAACACAAGTAGCAACTCCTCTTTTTAATTTGCTAAGTTTTCATTCAATTCCATGTACTTCTAGAATATGTTATTGTAGTCTTCAGCTTATTTGTCGATTTATTGCTAGATTACTACTAAAGTTTCATGAATAAGTCTGTTATCTCGTTCAATCATTTCCATTTAGTCTTACTATCTCTAAGTCTCTTACAGTCTTTTCAGTTCATTTTAATTTATACTCTCCTTTATCTCTTCAAAAATATCTAGTTTTTCACCTCTCTTTAGGATGACGTTTTCAAGATAGTCAATACGATCTTCTAGACTATCGTACATAATCCTCATTTGATTGGTTTTTTCTCTATCTTCATGTGACCTCTGAATCGTTGGCTCCATCAAGTCTCTCACTACCTTACGCATCTCTGTCTCAAACTAGAACCAGTCCAGTTCAACATTGCTGTCTAATAATTATTAATAATTATGTATATATACTGAGCTATGTTATATAAATAGCTAGTAATTTACTTACTTTTTGGGTCCTCTTCATATATCATTTTTATGAAGTTAATGTTTATAAATAAATAAAATATTATTAGTAACTTAATTAAGTATAATAATTAAGTATTTTTTCATTAGCTTTTGAAGATCGAGTTAGGGATTTTGTAGGAAAAAAAATAGTGGAAATTTTAGTATGCTTCACTCCATGTCACTACCTTCGCTTTATTGTCTTCTTGCTAGATTTACTCAGCTGCTCTCCTTCTTGCTACTTTTTCTTTTTCAGTCCAGCCTCTTGAAATCAAATAATAATATCTATACACCATACTCCTCATACTATCATAATAAGAACTTCAAGGAAATTTAGCTTTACATTATAACAAAGAGAAGTCCCAGGTATCCAAAAAATCCAACAATAGGAGATACTCTCAGTCCATAATCAAACCTCAGCAAATATATAAAAGCACCAAATACAATAAATGCTGACAATACACCTGATATGATTTTGTTTGACCATAGGTTATCACTATATTTGAATTTAGTAGAATTAAATTTGAAAGACATACTCTCTCGAAAAGGTATATAGAAATGGTGTTGCCATAATCATAATAAAGAAAAAGCCTTTAAATCTCCCCTGTAAGTCTTCAAAATATCCCAATTCCATTGCCTTGACATAAAAATACAAAGAGGTAAGAAGTATCTCTAACGCCAAAAAGAAAGATGAGTAAATGAAAAATACGAATACTCTCATGTTTCTCAATCCAACACAGTTGTTTATAAAGGTACAATGGCTAGAAGAAGTCTTCAATATCTATATGACTTACTGATCAAATGCTACAACACAATTATCACAAGTACTGCAGTGAGAAGCTTTTGGGGGTCTCATTATATTGCAAGTTTCACAATATCTTGGCCTAGGATTTCTATGAGAAAAATCTTAACTTACTTATATATCAATGTATTTCTGTAGAAATAATCATTCTATTGAACAGATAAAGTTTGAATTGAAAAATTACATCATTGTAGTTAGGATCATTTGGATTTAGACAAATTTCAGCTTCTTTTTGTACAATTCCAGGATCTGAATATTAGCAGACCAATAGTAGTCCGTGAGTCAAAAGAGTTTAGCAAATAACTAAATTGAATTATCAAATTGATACTTACCAATTACTGATATCTTGTAAGCTTCAATGATATTGAGAAAAGGCATGAAAAATACAATCCATGAAATAAGCACAATTATCAGCATAGCATGGGCAAACCAGACAGCAATCTCTTCAGATTTTGGACCAGTTACAAACTTACTATTATAAATTCGTATAATTTTATTATATTCTACCCATTGAAATAGAATCTGTTGTTTCCTCTCCAGGCCTTCCAAAGATATTTTTCAAGAACTTTTGAAGATTCTTCTTCTTAATTATTTTCCATTTATAAACTATTATAAATATTCATTTTAATCGATAATCCCATAATTCATAAACTAATTAATTACTTAACATATTTAGTTACATGGGGTTTTGGGGTTTTGGGGTTTTGGGG